AGATAAGCATTTATCTATTTAGGTCTCATGATAACCCTGCAGGTTAGATATATTTCTGATGTTATATATATGTATAACTTATGTGTATATACATATATATGTACAACTTTCTGATATTACTGACGAGGAAATTGAGGCTTGAACATTCAGCAGATCCTTGGCATTTAAGTATGATGCTGGTGTGTGGGAATAAGTTACTCAGTAGAGTAGACCTAACTCTCTAGAACTCACATTTAACTCAACTTATTTTTAACTCGTCATTGTGTACACATCAAGTAAGCACGTTTGCGTGCACACAGCAAAGAAAAGCCAGAACTGCTTATTGAGCAGTTCTGTGTTACTACTTCCCTCCACCTAGCCAAATCTTTTCAACCCTTTAAGGTGCTCTGAGCACTTAAACAGACACTGAGCTCTTTCCTCTGAACTCTTAACCCTTACTGCCTAAACAATAATTTTGTAATGGACCACATATGATTTTCTACCATTACTTACTAATTTCTTATAATATGATCTCCCAATAGGAAGTCCCACGAGGGCTCATACTTTCATCTTAAATTTCTTTTATGTTCCCTGGAGTATCCAACTGACTGCTGGGCATAAAGTTGTTTTGCAGTAATATCTGTTAAACAGTTTACTACCCAGACCCCGCAAGGGCATCCCCAGATAAGAATGATTATTGTTTATTCAATAAATTTTTACCTACAATGTAGCAGGCACTGCATTAGGCCTTGGAGCAGAATCGGAACCTAATATGACACTCGGTCATCAGGAGTTTATAGTAGACTGCGGAAAAGTACAGTTAATCTGATAATTAAAATACAGTGAGGTAAGTGCTATGAGAGATATCTGAACCAAGTACTAAGACAGTATTGAAGAGGGAAGGATTAATTCCCCCCAAAGGACCCAGAAAGCATTTCAACATTCACTTATTTAACAAATACTTATTGACCACTTGATATGTGCCAAGCACTGTGATAGGTCCAAGGATACGGAAGTAAATAAAATTCCAAAGGCTCCTGTACTCATAAAATGTACAATCTAGGATTCACAGGGAAAGTCACACTTGCGTGGGTTCACAAATGAGCACAGCAGTCCTCACAAAAAGAAAAGAGAAAGGTTTTCTAGGAAAAGGACCAGCATCAAGTCAAATTCCTGGAGACATGAAAGAGAATAGTTTATACAGAGACCAGCAAAATATGGGGTGTGGCTGGAATTCATTCCTGGGAAAGGGGAGCTATGAAGCATGGAATGAGAAGGCTCCCTGGGGAGCATAAGGAAGGGACTCATATGCCATGCCAAGGCTTTTAGGGTTTTAGTTCATTTGGTCATTCAGAAAAATGCACTGTGGTCTTCTATATACCAAGCCCTGTGCCAAGTACTGGGGACACAAAAATCAGTAAGACATAGTCTTTCAAGAAGCTCAGAGTAGGGGCACCTGGGTGGCTCAGTGGGTTAAGCCTCTGCCTTCAGCTCAGGTCATGAGCCCAGAATCCTGGGATCAAGTCCCACATCAGGCTCCATGGTCAGCAAGGAGCCTACTTCTCCTTCTGCCTGTACATGTTCTCTCTCTCTCTTTCTGACAAGTAAGTAAATAAAATCTTAAAAAAAAAAAAAAGAAAAGAAAAGATATAGGGGTAGCTTAGAAAAGGGAATGATTAGATTGGCTTTCTATCTGGGGGACAGAAGGATGATTGGGAAAGGCCACATAGTAGAGGAGACCCTTGAACTAGGTCATGGGGGACAAACAGGAGGTGATAAATTGATGATAACAGCAAACACTTGCATATTACTTAGTTTTGTTCCAAGCACTTATCATATACTGACTCACTCATCCTTCATAACTACCTTATAAAACAGATATTATCATTAATCCCATTTTATAGATAAAGACACAGAGAGGTTAAATAACTTGCCCAAGGTCAAATAATAAGTGGCACGGCTGGGATTTAAACATAGGCAGTTTGGCTCCAGAGTCTGTGTTCTTAATTACCACACTATACTGCCACCAAGACAAGAGAGTAAGGCCATTCCAGGCAAAGAGGACAGCATATGCAAAGGGTACGGAGGTATGAAATAGCACACCATGTTGGGGAAATTGTGAGTGGCTGCCACTGATAGAATGGATAGGATGGTTAAGCAACTGCCTTCGGCTCAGGTCACGATCCCGGAGTACAAGGATCAAGTCCCACATCGGGCTCCCAGCTCCACAGAGAGCCTGCTTCTCCCTCTGACCTTCTCCTCTCTCATGCTCTCTCTCACTGTCTCTCTCTCAAATAAATAAATAAAATCTTAAAAAAAAAAAAAAGGATGTCAACAGGAAGAGCAGCAGGAATGAAGCAGGCAGGTGCCAGGTCACAGAGGGCCTTGGGTGACATTAAAAGAAATGTCTTCATCGGTAGGTAATGAGAAACCACTGCAGGACTAGGCATGGAAGTGACCTGATTAGATCTCCTTTTCTTCTATTCCTCTGGCTTAAGTGTGGAAGGGGAATGAGACAGGATGCCAAAGGCAGGGAGACAATTTACCAGACCATGGCACTGCTAAGATTTTTAAATTTAAAGTGGGAGATGTTAAGGACAAGAATGATTTTTAGGAGACAAAACTGAAAACTGGATATAAGAGAGAAAAAAGTTAAGGATGGTTTCTAAGTTTCTAGTCCCAGTTACTTGGTATATGGATTTAAAAGTAAATACACAGGAGGAGGCGCCTGGGTGGCTCAGTCAGTTAAGTGTCCAACTCTTGATTTCAGCTCAGGTCGTGATCTCTGCACTGAGCAAGGAGCCTGCCGAAGAGTCAGTCTCTCTCTCTCTATCTCTCTCCCTCTGCCCCTCCCCTGCTCACACTCATGTGCTCTTTCTCAAAATAAATAAATGAATGAATGAATGAATGAATGAATAAATAAATAAATGAATAAATAAAAATAAATACAGAAGAATAAAGAATAGGTTTGGGAGAAAAGCTACTTCATTTAAAGGGAATGTTACTTTCTCTATACCTAATGCTTATTCTGCTTCCATAATCTTTACATGGTATATTCTCATGTTCACACAAGGACTCTCAACTGGGGCATAAGCGGGGACACAGAGGGGAGAAGAGGCAGGTGGAAGTATACTAGAATCTAGATGTTTGCATATGAGTGTACGAGTAGTTCAATTAATACCCTTCACTTTTTCTTCCAGCTTGGTATCACAATCCTGCCCACCACCTTCTGTCACTGAGAGTCACTGTGGTATATAACTCCATGAGTACTCTGACAAAACAGAGACAGTTGAAAATTTTGGTTATGCACAGAACTCCAAGACTGGGAGAGATTTTTAAAGACCATCTAGAATTCAGTAGCTCTCAACCAAGGGCTACCTGGAAACATGTGAGGGCAGTTTTGCTTGTCACAGTGGGAGGTACTGTTGGCCTTTAGTGTCTGAAGGCCAGGGATGGTAAATGTCCAATAACTCGCAGGACAGTTCCAAATAATGAAGAATTACCTTGCCCTACGTGACAACAATGTTCCTTTGAAGAACTACCAATAGGGGTGCCCAGGGACCTCAGTAGGTTAAGTGTCTGCCTCTGGCTCAGGTTGTGATCCCAGGGTCCTGGACTGGAACGCCATAGCAGGCTCCCTGCTCAGCAGGGAGTCTACTTTTTCTCTCCCTCTGCCCATCCACACTGGCTCATGCTCTCTCTTTCTCAAATAAATAAAATCTTAAAAAAAAATACTGATAAAGTTTGACCCCCACATTTTACAGATGAGGACAAAGGGAGATCCTAGGTAAGGAAATGACTTGCCAAAGATCACCCAGTTGACTAGAAGGCCTAGAACTCTGGGCATCTGTTTATACACTCCTGTACTGCTTTCTAGTATGGGTCTGGTAAGCCTGTGGCACATCTGGAAGAGGAGTCCAACTGAGTACATAAATCAAGTACTCAGAACACCACCTTGCTATCACAGCCCTGTGCGCATCTTCTCTAGCCCCAGATCCCACTCTCACCATCAGAGATCCAAGGCTGGAAGTACAAGTCTGGCAGTCATCCGCATGGGAAGCGTTACAATAAATAAGGTTACCCTGGCCAAATACATAAAACGTAACAAAGCTTGGGGAGCATAAATATTAGGAGACTGGTAGAGGAGGAGGAACCAATAAAGGAAATTGAAAAGAAAATGTAAGAAGTTGGGATGCCTGAGTGGCTCAGTCAGTTAAACATCTGCCTCGGCTCAGGTCATGATCCCAGGATCCTAGGATCGAGTCCCTCATCAGGCTCCTTGCTCAGTGGGGAGCCTGCTTCTCCCTCTGCCTGCTGCTCCCCCTGTTTGTGTTCTCTCTCTCAATCTATTTCTCTGACAAATAAATAAAATTCTAAAAAAAAAAAAAAAAGAAAGAAAGAAAATAAAATAAGAGGTCAGGAAGGCAAAGGGAACTAATTACAAATGTTTGTTTTTAGGGAAATAATTCTTACTTTATCATTAACTGGGTACCCATGTCCATTGATTCCTTGTTGCCTATCCTGTACTTATTCCTTGCCTCTTCTTTGCGAAAAGAATTCAGACATGAAGAGGTTGCAAAGAGTCCATTAACAGTCTGTTCCCCAGTCTCAGCTACAGCTGCAGGCCATGTGATACAGTTCTGGTCAATAAGACAGGAGAGTAGAATATCATCACCCAGGCTTACTGAGTTTGTACAGAGTACACAGAATCATATTCCTATTTTCACATTCCTAAAAGAAAAGAAAATGTTGCAAAAACACAAAAACACTTAAGGGGCTCGTTCTCTCAACCAGCAAAACATATGATATAGCCAAAGTAATCAGAAGAGTAATAGAAGTGCATGCAGGGATTGGTAAATAGAAGTCTGTACAGAGTAGGGAAGAAACAAATTAGCAGTGATCAGGAACACTTTGGGGAGAAAGTATAGGAAGAAAGAATTCATAGGTCTTCCATAGAACTCCACACCGCCTTGCTACCACAGTCCTTTCCACATTTCCTCTAGCCCCAGATCCCCTCTCACCTTCAGAGATTCAATCGTGGCCTGCTTGTAAATCTTTCCACCAGGAGCTTTCTTCTGAGGACTATTTTGGATTCTAGGCGTTCGAATGACGAATTTATCCATTGCTAGAGGACTGCCAACTACCTTCACGTGCTTGCAGCGCTTTCTGCTCAAGAAAGAGGAAAGATTCTAAAACGTCATCAAAACTGCTATGACGTGTTCTCTCTAAAGTGACATAATGGACTTCTATTCTAGAAGCATTCCTGAATTATGACGACTCTTGGGTGGAATTTACAGGAAAGAAAATTTTGTCTCGGAAAAGAATTATCTTCCTAAGAACTGAAACTGTATACAATGATCGGTGTAATTCCCGAGTTAAGACGTGCCTAGCTTTCAGAAGTGCACGCTGTGCAGGGGATTCCAATACTGGGCCAGGCATTGACCCCGGTGATTCTAAAAGCCTTTTTCAACTTAGGTGAGGTTGTGACAAGGTTAAGAGTTTCACTGAACTCCATGAGGCTCAGTATCAACAGCTACCCCACCATCACCACAATCCTAAAGGTTCGCCTAGTAACGAGCAATCACTAACCACCCCCAGATCTCAGCAGGGTCCTCACAACAAGCAGCAGCCATCTCCAGGAACTGCTCGGTGGTGCAAAGACCCTAACCGCGATTGTCGTGCCCCAGATCCCTGAGCAAAAGGAAACACCATCCTCCTCTACCCTCAGCACTCAGGAGTCCCGGAAGGGGAACCTAACGAAGGTCTGACGTGAGACCCACCAGGAGAAGCAGCCCTGCCAGTAGCTGGACCCTTCCAGAGTGCACCCTTTGAGGATCCACTCCTGTCGGCACCTCGGCGATCAGAATTAAAACGACGCTTCCTTCCTGGACGGTGGTTTCTCCGACCTCAGAGCGCCTCTGAACCTCCGCAAACCACATTCCCCAGAATGCACTACAAAGGGGCGGGTGAGGCGCGCTCACGGCGACTGTAGTTCTCCGAGACCGACTTTCCCCATCCCACCATGTTTCGCCCGCCTCCAGAGAACTACATGCCCCAGCGTGCCCCGCGGAGGGAAGCGCCGGGGAGGCCTGTTCGCTCTAATACTCGCGATGATTGGATCCACCTCTTCCTGCCGTCCTAGGAGAAGTTCTTAGACCTGGAGGTGGGGCGAGAGGCGGCAGTTTTGGGCGGGTCGGGGCGGAGCTGAGGAGACGGCGGAGGCGGAAGCTGCGGCCTGAGGGGCGGGGAAGGGGCTGGCCCCGGAAGGCAGAGGAAACCCTGAAAAGAAAACAGCAACAAGCGGAGCTGCTGTGACAGAGGGAAACAAAATGGCGGCACCGAAGGGGAGCCTCTGGGTCAGGGCCCAGCTGGGGCTCCCGCCGCTGCTGCTGCTGACCATGGCCCTGGCCGGAGGCTCGGGGACCGCTTCGGCTGAAGCGTTTGACTCGATCTTGGGTGATACGGCGTCTTGTCACCGGGCCTGTCAGTTGACCTTCCCCTTGCATACCTACCCCAAGGTAGGTCCCGTCCGAACCGGGCTACGACTCTCCCCTGGCAGCCCATCTCTCCGCTCTCTCGCACTTGTGTCGGCTTGGGAACCTGGGTGTCGAATCCACACCCTTCAACCGCTGTCTCCCACCTGTGTAGCCCGTTTTCCTCCCTAATTCTACCCGTACCCCTCTCGTGCTGTAATTACCGGAAGTTTGTGCTGCATCGACCCTATAATAGACTGGGGACGCAGAGATGAGCAAGACATGACCCATTTCCTCGGGCAGCTTTTGGGGTGGCAGGGAAGACGAGCACTCCGATGGGGAAGAGGATATAGATGATTAATGCAGGGTCTTCACGTTCGAGGGGTGTAAGGGATGGTGGGGGGTAGGAGCGGTTATGCAAGCCCACAAAAGGTTAGTTTATAACCCGTGTTTACCGAGCGCCTCTCTGGGCCGGGAGCGCACACACTGTTGTGGGAGTCAGAGAAGCAGACAATTACACCGTGGTATGAAATATATTAAGCCAGACCTAGTAGTTGTGAGACGCACGGGAAGGGCTTTCCGCCTTTGTTGAATTACTGTGTGCGAGACGCTGCCACTAGGGCTTGGGGTGGCTTAGAGAAGAAGCAGGCAGGTTTCTGCGTTCAAAGAACTTAACCGTTCAGTGCAGAAGACAGAAGGAATTCGTGGCGCGGGTATAGAAATGAGACTGCCCGTGGGAGGTCGGGGTCCCAGTTTACCGAAGGGAGTGACCCTGCTTTCACTTATCATTCGCCTGCGGTTGATGCCTTTCCTTTAATTCCATTCTGCTTCTCAAGTTTTTGGTTTTTTGTTTTGTTTTTTTTGTTTTTTTCCAGCTTAGGAATTCTGTGTACTCCACATTCTAAATTGTGTGGTGATTCCCCACCCTTTCCCATATGTAATTTGGATATATGCTTCCTTCCCCCCACTGGCTTTTTTTGTAAGAGCTTTTGCTGTTGTTACTGGTCTTTTCCTCCTTGTATTCCCTTCATCTCCTCTGTGCTGTTGGCTTAACCGTGTGACTAGCACTCTTTGTGCTCTCAGACTACAATGGAACCACGAGGAAAAGGCCAATGAACTCTAGGATGTTCCTTATTGGCAAATGCTTTCAGGTCTTTGAAATGAAAAGCTCTAAATGCTCTCACTTCCCATATGCCTGTTTACTGCAGGATTTTACATTGCATGGGGTTTATCAATTTTCAGGAAAAAGTGTGGGATATTGATTATCCTAAAATTTTCAGTCAGACACAAATTATAACAGTCAGGAGAAAGAAATGAGAGATTCTGACATCCAGATTTCAATCAATGTGTACTGCCGTAAACACATTACTGTGTTCTCTACTTATAAATCTGTCATCATTAAGAAGATTGTATAAGGAAATTCATTAAGATTTATTTGGCCTGGCATTGAGTGGAGGCTTGTTTTGTTTTCTTCTGGTGTTTGGTTATGGTTTTTTTTTTTCCTTTTTTGAGATTTTCCTAGCAAACTTGTAGTATGACTCGGGATGCTGGGAGAATAACTAAATAATATAAACGTTTCTGGAAACTTCAGGCACTTTTTAAACATCCACTATTTAACAATTTTTAACAATTGATATGCTATCTATAAGTCATCTTTGCTTATTCATTAAAGCTGTTCTCACCAGGGACTTGGAAGTCATTTGGCTTCCTGTATGTTAGATGGACTTAAAATTTATTAACTGTCGACTCTCTGTTCTCCAGTTTGATGAGAGATTTATACCCATTATCCCTTATGGTCACTACTATGCAAAGTAGGACTTTACAATGGAGACTCTGAAAGGTTAAGTGACTTGCCTAAGGTCACATAACTAAGAAGTAGTGGAGTGGTAGGAATGCAGTCCTAAAACTGGCTATACTGTGCTGCCTTCTATTAATAAAGTTGTGTTGAAAAGATTTAATTTACTTATTTCACTGATTTCTTTTGGCCCTCCAAGTTACTGTACTTTGCAGTTCAGGAAAAAGCAGTGCATGTTATAAGAAATTAGATGAATTTAAAAGCTCACGTAACCTTTCATCTGGTATTTGCAACTGGAAGATAGAAATCTCATTTTAATGGCTCTTTTTCAGAATGAATTATTTGTTGCAAGAAAGTAGAATAGCTGTTTGTAACTAGCTATTTCAAAATTCCATTATAGTTACCATTTAGCTTTTCTCAGAAGCGCAATTGCATAATTTGTCTGGATTCAAATACGAGAGACGTGTGTTATTTTAACAACAAAGCTAATTAGAACCAACCTGGTCATTTTTAAAGAGTGTGGGCTCTGGAACCATAAAAGCCTGGGTTCCATTCCCAGCTCCACTTTTACTCTCTGTATATCTTTGCTAATCACTTAACTTCTCGAGACTTCATTTTGTCAACTGTAATAAAAAACACCACCACCACCACCTTACACCTTACAGAGCTTGTGTGAGGATTAAAGATAAAGAATGTGGCACTCTTAGCACATAAAACCAGTTCTGGGAAAGCAAATGCATATATTCTATAAATGGTATCATTGAGGTCCCTTCTGATTATTTAGCTGGCATTCAGTTTGGTGGGGAGCACCATTTCCTTGTGCTCTAAATCAGAGGAGATACATTTAAGATAAGCTTGCCAATCATTTGAGATACATAGAGCATGAAATACTTACTTAAAATAATATTATCTAGTACATGAAACACTTAGTTGGAATAAGGATATGATTCTTAATAGCTACCAGTTGAGCCCCTACTCTGGGTTGGACATTGTATAATACCTCAAATGTTACCATGCTGTCTGGCACATTGTGGGTGCTCATTAAATACATTACTATTATGCCTATTTATTAGATAGTATAGCATAATATTCATTTGTGGATATAAAATGTATAATCCTTATCATAATCAAGATTGACATAAGAGAGTATTGTCCCCATCTTACAACCAAGGAAACTGAGGCTGAGAGAGATTGTCACTTTGCCAAGATTGTACAGGACAAGTTGTGCAGCTGAGCTTCAAAGCAGGACTGATTCCTGGACCTAGGCTCTTTGCAGCATCCCATACTGTCTTTCGGAAATGGGATTGGAGGGCTTATTGGCTTGGTTTAAGAAAAGAAAACCTGGGGCGCCTGGGTGGCTCAGTGGGTTAAAGCCTCTGCCTTTGGCTCAGGTCATGATTCCAGGGTCCTGGGATCGAGCCCCCCTCATCGGGCTCTCTGCTCAGCAGGGAGCCTGCTTCCTCCTCTCTCTCTCTCTCTCTGCTTCTCTGCCTACTTGTGATCTCTGTCTGTCAAAATAAATAAATAAAATCTTAAAAAAAAAAAAAAAAGAAAAGAAAACCTACCTGAAAATGAAACGGCGTGTAATAGAGCTCATATTAATGAGCTCAAGCTTCCTCTGTGCAGTATAAGGAGATATGTGATGCTCCAGATACAATAAATGCAGCTAGAACTGAGGTCCAAAAACACTCTAGCTTCAGAATTATGATAACACTTGTTTAATGTCAGACTGCAGCCATCTCTTCTGAATCGGTTGTTGCTGCTGCATACATCTCACTGATCCTTCCGCTGGAAAGAAATGCATACCTTTCTCTTCCATTGATTGCTAACTGGTGTATGCACATGCTGTTTCCCTCCTTATTAGGTGCCCGCCAATTTGTACACAGTGGATCACACAGTAAGTTGAGGGGGCTCCCCCACATGTACTGGTTTGTGTCGAATACTGTGTGTATTTCATCTAACAAAAGCCTGTTGAAGACATGGTTATTAGTCTTTTTAAGCAGTTAACATTTTCCCATAATGAAGAATAGAACCTATCCTGAGCTCCCATAAATAGACAGTGACGCCTGTAACTGTTGTTTTCTGTTTTAAAAAAAATCTATTATCGTGATTAACACTACTACCATTTATTGAGCACCATCTGTGTCCCAGGCACACTATACGAGGAGTAGCTATGTTCCAGCATTATTGAGGGCTTTGGAGATACTTTATAGCTATTATCTCCTTCACGATGAGAAAACTGAGATTTAGATAGGTAGAGCCACTTGTGCAGCGTCACTCACCAGAACAGTTTTAATCCAGGTCTGGCTGATTCCAGAGGACTTTCCCATACACCGCACTTTTGCTCTTGTTTGTGTGTTCAGTTAAAGTAAGCCAAGTTTAAAAACGCCTTTCATGAAAGCATTTTTATAGATGTATGCCTCACTTTGTGGGGCCTTTATGTCACTATTTGCCATGTGAAGCTAGTTAGGATACTTTTTCCTGAGAAGCCAGATGAATTGTATAAATACTTATGTGGCAGAGGGATGCCATTCATCCTGAGGTCCTTGCTTACTCATTTCTACTTCTGTTAAAGTTCTGATTATGTCGCTGTTATTTTTATTTTCAAATTT